AAAAAAAAAACAAACAAACAAGAAAATAAAGGAAAAATAACGAAACATTAGATATATATATATTATTTGTTTAAAATAATTTCTATTACCTTTTGTTCATAAAAAAAAAAAAAATGGTTAATAAGTGTATCAAATTTCTTATCAGATTTAATATTCTCTGGTTGTTCATTCCCTTTTTTTTCTTTTTTTTCTTTTTTTTTTTTCTTACGAGCTTGCAATGTCATTAAACTCGCTGATTCATTCGTTTAGATAAGGTACAATCTTTTATTAAAAAAAAAGTGAGAAAGAGAGAGAGAGAGAGAGAGAGAAAAAGATCCATTTAAAATTTCCAAGTTTTTTATTTTGAATTTTTTTCACGAGTAATAATTATAATTTATTGAAATAATTGTTCAAATTATATTAAGTGAAAAGAAAAAAAACGAAAGGAAAATAAATAACAAACGTTTATCTTCCGAAAAAATTATCTTCAAACAATAGTTTCTAATGTATCGTAGTTTTTACTTTCAAACTAATACTCAAGTAATATATATATAGATAACGTAAAGGACAAGTTTTTCATATCTATGTTTTTTTTTGTTTTAATTTTTAAAATAATTTTTAATAACTCAAATATTAATAACAAATATGCATATTAGTGAAAAATGACAGAATAATAACTTTGCACATTTTCGTATCAGTCGAACAAGGTGTAAAATGAACACAAACGAGATTAGTTAGTTCGTTGATATTTTTTCTTTTTCTTTTTTTTAAACAGAATTATTCAACAATTCGTTGAAAAAAAAAATGACGCATTGCAAGTTGCAATAGTTGTTGTATTCAAGTGTTGATCCTTGTCTAATATCTGTTATTACACAGATAAGCTAATTTCATATTTAACATTAAAAAAAACTGATGGGAATGAGTTATCGAGATTGGATTTAAGAGAAGAGATGAAAACAAATAATTAATAATAAAAAAAAAAAAATAAAAATAAAAAAACAGAAGAATATGAATTTTTCTATAGAATCGATTCAATACAATTACTAGGAATAAAGAAAAATCATGGAAGATATTTTCACGATAGTGACATTATTTTAATCGAATTCAATGCGTATTTACTTCTTGTTATTCTTGTCTGTTGCCATTACTTGTCTGTTGGATCAACTAAATCCTAAGAAACGTTTCCAAACAACACATACATAAACATACACACACACACAAGCACACATACATATATATATATATATATGACGATTATGAAAATAATAAAAAGAAGAAGAAGAAGAAGAAGAAGAAGAAAATAAATATGAAGAAAAACCCGCGAATTGAAATGAAGTAAAACACTGGGGTAAACCGAATCACAAAAAAAAAACAATATAAAAATAATAATAATAATATTGTTTTAATCTTTTCGCTACTATGGACCACTATAGTGGCCCTCCATAGAATATCGCGTATTTTACATACGACGAGCATATGCAGTTATAACACGTCAAATATCCCACTTGGGACGTGTAATTTTACACAGTTTTGTTTCTTTTGATTAAAAATCGTTAATATTAAGAACAAAATTACTTAAAAATAAATTGCAATTTTGATGCTGCTGCACGTATTATTAGCAGCCCGTACAGTAGAAGTAGCACCGCGGAAAATACGCTCGTAGTGAAAGGGTTAATAATATCGAGTAAAATGTACCTGTATCATATATATAAAAGAGTTTTAAATGTCAAAGAGTAAGCATTGATAAATTGGTAGACGACAAAGGACTAAAGGGAAAAGGACTCAATGGTCGAAATAAAGAAATAGTCTGTTCTTCGTAAGTTGTTCAGTTGTGCGTGAGAATCTGTAAAAATCTAGAAGGTTCTCGAGACAGATGTCTGGAAAATTCGATAACGATGCAGATGTATATAAGAAAACACAGATTTAAGCAGTCAGTCAATCAGTCAGTCAGTCAGTTAGTCAGCCAGCCAGTCAGTCAGTCAGTAAGTAAGTAAGTAAGTCAGTCAGTCATTCAGTCAGTCAGTCAGTCAGTCAGTCATTAAGTAAGTAAGTCAGTCAGTCAGTCAGTAAGTAAGTCAGCTAGTCAGTCAGTCAGTCAGTAAGTAAGTCAGCTAGTCAGTCAGCCAGTCAGTCAGTCAGTAAGTAAGTAAGTAAGTAAGTCAGTCAGTAAGTAAGTCAGCTAGTCAGTCAGNCAGTAAGTAAGTCAGCTAGTCAGTCAGCCAGTCAGTCAGTCAGTAAGTAAGTAAGTAAGTAAGTCAGTCAGTAAGTAAGTCAGCTAGTCAGTCAGTCAGTTAGTCAGTCAGTCAGTCAGTCAGTCTGTCAGTCAGTTCGGAAGTTCAGAAGTATTCGGTTAGTCATCAGTCGTAACAGTCGCAGTTGTATTATAAGTCGCTATCAGTTGTAAGAACACAGTCGCTTATCTAAATTATAATCGTAAGATTGTGAAACTATTATTGTACTTTTTCTAATACCTGTTTTAAATAAATCTTATTAGTAGGATTAAACTGAATGTATGTTCAGCTAGCACCTCACAACCTAAACAAAAATTCCTCACATATATGAATGATTGAAAAAACAATGTATATATTTACGAAGAAATTAAGGTAATAATGAAAAGTGGAATAACCGGTTTGTCCTTTCCAACTACTGGTTTTTCATAGTCGTTTGAAACGAGTAAGTTTAATACTTTCGTTTAAGCTTAAGGACGTTCTTGATTTTTTTTTTTTTTTATTCTATCTCTTTTTCTCTTTCTATCCGTTAGTTCTCATACATGTGAAAAATGTTAAAACTTTATTACCAATGACGTGTGTATGTTTATATATACATATGTGTGTGTGTGTGGTGTGTAAGTGTGTGTGTGTGTATTTACGATGAATAACGCATTTTATTAACTCGGAATCTCGAAAGTTTTGATATCACGATTTGTAGACAAAATTAATATACAGTAGATCTATTTATATACTTTAAATACATAGCTAAAGATATAGATAGACGATAATATTATAATACATTGCTTATTATCGTTTGACGCGATGTTGTTGTTGTTTTTTTTTTTTTTTTAATAGTTCCTCGCTTACGACCATTTACAAATGTTTACGAAATTATTTTCATTTCTATGACGCGTTCACATTTTTTATTAATACTTCTCCAAATAGTCATTCTACGATTTTTATATTCTACATAATTTAATTGAATTCTTGTTTCCTTTTTCTTTTTCTTTCCTATCTCTTGTGAATAAAACATAAAAAGACGCGCGGATGAAAAACAATTGGCATAAGTCGTGAAAAATATGATTACAGAAGTAATACGATTAATTAAAAAAAAAAAAAAATAAAAATAAATAAAAAAAAAAAAGACAGAGTTTAGTAAAGAAAAATAGAATTGAATAATTATTATCATAATTATTATTTTTTAATAAATAAAAAATTAAAAAAAAAAA